TTCTCAAGCAATATGGAGAGGGTAAGCACATACTCCTTTATTTTGTTATGTAATAATATATAAAAATGTTAAAAGCTATATATTCATCTATTTTGTATCTTAAAGGTTTGACAGCTATATTGTATTATGCATTAAAAATATAGCAAAATATTGTCTTATACATATTTGCATTTGGTGGTAAAATATTTAACCACAGCAAGCTGAGTAATTTTAGAGGTGGTATATAATTTACTACCTGATCGAAACGCAGTTTTACTAAAATGTTTCGCCTTAGATATAGCATTTTGTTTGGCATACTTGATTTCTTTGCACATATATATTGTAATACTTTATTATCATTTCAATGATTAATTATTATGGAAAATATTTTAGCATTTATTTAGGATTACATAAATATTTATGCATTTAGAAAATTATAATAAAAATATTACTTATATATATTATTAGAATGCTATAGATTCTGGTCAGTATGTTCAAGTGATTTCAAAATATAAGTAACTATTTAAATGTAATGAATATTATTTTAAGTAACTGCATTAAAGAAAAAGAAAAAAATAACCGAGGAAACTATAGAGCTTTATTTTCCACTGCCTTCAAATTTAGAAGATTCCAGAAAAGGGCTCCTTCACACAAGAACTGCAGGCTTCTTTGGGAATCTTAATTATTATGGAAGTCGATAAATTACCTGTTTTAGATTTGTACTAGTCTTCTGACTTTTTTCAATAATCAAGAAATCTCAATGACATAAGGCTGTTGGTTGAAATGAGCCAAATTACATACAGTGTGTATTTATCACTCATTTAGAAAAAATATCAAGAAGAATATTCAACCTCATCAGTGCAATCTATTGAAGAAAAAAATGGTAAAATTTAAAGGAAGGTCCATAATGAAACAATATATGCCAGGGAAGCCTATAAAAGGAGGATATAAGATTTATACTGGAAAAAAAGACGATGGTTCCATTTCTGAAGGTTTGGAATATACAGACAAGTGAGAGCAAAGAAATGGTGGCATCGGCTATTTTATTTTCTATTGGATGCTGCTTGTATCATTTCGTATATTTTATATGTGGACATTGATCAAGTGTCAAGAAATTCTCATCTTGAATTTAGGTTGAGAGTAGCTTGCAGTCTAATAGGAGAAACGAAAACTACAATCAAACTGGGTATCAGCATAAAAAAGAAAACACTACCCTAAAGGAAATCCGAACTACTAATGTTGGAACACACATGCCATAGGAGAAAGTTACAGAAGGAGCAAATATTGCAGCATAAAAGTAAATCAGAAATGTACCAAGGTGTTATGTACCACTCCATGTTTTAAATTTCATGAAACTCAGTAGAAGTAGTGCATTTGGTTATTTTTCTTTCTGTAATCAATATTACATTATAAATTATATGTATATTTAAGTAATCAAGAATAAATAGTTTTCATTAAAAAATACATGTTTATTTGTGATATTTTTGTAATTATGATTTTTTTTTCTTTTGCACAAATCAGAAAATTGCAATTGCTTATACAGTGCGGAGGTAAATGTTACCACTATTATAAGCAGAATTTCAAAAATAGTATTTTGGTCATAAAGTAACTAATTTTTCTTAAAAGTTGCATAATATAAATTTTGAAAATAAATAGCCTGGGTCAATTTAAGGGCTAAGGTCCGGATGTCTGACTTTGTATCATTTGAAGTTTTTCTGAAACAAATAGAATACACAGGGTTCGTACACATTTCTGCACACAGAAATTAAGTACTTGAAAAAAATAAGGACCTATGAGCAAATGGGAACCGAATAAATTCAATTGAAATATTGATCTATGCCTGAATTTCATTTTTGTAATAACATCCTAAAAATAAAATAATCTTTAAGTAGTATGCATTATCACTAAAACATGAATTAACATAATAGTTAATAAGTTTAAGAATAAAATAAACTTTATGCGATTTATCAAGTAGCATTAAATATTTTACACTTGTAATAGTTGGTCATATTCAAAAGAAGATAAGCGACATTTACATTTTACTAACAGTTAGCTTTATGTTGATTTTTTTGTCAACATAAAGCTTGGTCAGTCTACAGGTTTAGTAAATAGCAGGTAGATTGTATGTCAAACGGCACAGGTAAGTAACATCATAATCAGCACGATTCATAACAAGACAGAAAGTTGTCACCACTGCTGCTTGTCTAGAGGGACCTGCTGATTAAAACAAACCTGAAAGGCCTGATTGGCAAGTGTTGAAAGTTAGTCAGGCTCTGTTTGATGCAGTTAGTGTCTTAGCTTTGTGTACAGTTCCAGGGGTTGTAACCCAGGTAATATAGTTTAAGGTTCCAATAAGCCATTAAAGCACCAGAGGTGATAAGTTGTTTTGTCTCAGTAGATGCAAAGAATGAGTTTTACTTGAATTGTTTCTCTTGTGACCAGAAAGTATTAATTAACAATGAATGATTTGTAACAACACTCAACAAAATATTTATTCGTCATTTTAATTTGAAGCCTTTCCAGACATTTTGGCTAGTTTATATAGATTTCTCTCTTTAAGCATCCTTTTTAACAATTAGAGATGTCTCAATATGCAAACCAATGCTCTCGCTAGTTTCTGCATGCTTGATCTAACTTGTCAACCTCTCCAGAATGTACCCATGAGGGTTTAATTGATCTGGTAAAAGTAGTCCAAAATCCTTGACCGACGTGAAGCATGCGATGTCTGAAATTAACTACAATATCAGACAAAGATTTAAATAAGCCCCTTATTTAAAAAGAACTTAGAATATAAAGGCATGTTCTGATGCTAAGCAAAATCAATTACAGCTCACAATGACATAATTGAACAATAGTCAAATTCCAACTAATAATGTGAACTACTGATCAAAGATTACACACTTTAATCTGTCTCATTAACTCTTATCATATGAGGAAATGGGAAATTATAGTAAAGGTTAAAATCAAACAATTGGGTAATTTACATAATAACTGCACATATCTTTGAAGAATAATTTTCTTATGTATTCAGTTTCTTCAACATGTTTCCTTTTCATTTTAGAATTTAAGGATTCCTGCTATTCTAAAAAACGCTACGTACACTTAGAATGTACAGAAAAAGCTTATTTTATTTCTTTAGTAATATGAACATTCACAAGAAATATCAAATATATAAAGGCTGGTTACAAAGGTGATGTGACAATTTCTAGAATTTAATGACACACCTAAAAACAAAATCTAGACACAGCAAAACTTTTAGAATTTAGAGTACGCATTGGAAGCAGAATTTGGAAAGGCACTAGGCAGCACAATTTAGGATCCACAGAGATTGCATTAGGTGAGAAAATGCTAGTGACCAGCTATGTGTATGCTACATTAAGTATTAGATGAATCTTTTAAATTGCAAGTTTTCAATTTCTTTATTAATAAAAAAATCCCTTTCTATAATGCCTGCCCATGTGATAAGATTAGAAGCATTCTTGATATTTTCCATGCTTGTGTCTAATGAAAAGTAGAGAAAATAAAGGGAAGATAAACATGTTATAATTCTAGTATTGGAAGTAAAACATGTCTTCATTGTTTTTCCACACATTCTCCAAAAAAGTAAGAAATTAATTGCAAACTTTCTGTAAAATACATCCATTAGGTGTTGATACTATGGAGATTTTACCCTTTGCCACATATTTCTCGAATCGTGGGTCTATAAAACTTGCCTTCGAATCCTTCTAAAGCTTTTAAGTCTCAAATCCTAAAGAAAAATTATTCCTACCATTTCTGTAACAGCAAAATGCCAGAAATATTTTGGAAAAAAAAGGGAGAGAAAAAGTATAAAATTAATTTTATAGAGTAAATTGATGCACATTCTAAGACAATTACATAAGAAAAACTGACTATGAAAAAAATTAAAAACATTTTTAATTAATTAGATATCCAATTTTGCTTTTGCTAAGAGCTGTTTTGTAAATTGGGCTTTATAGCATTATACCTTGTTTATTTTTCAGATTCAAAATATTGTACAAGTTGCCAAAATGAAACTTTATAATACGACAACGACAAATAACAATGTTTTATTTTAATGTTATTTTTTAAATATAATTTCAATATATTACCATTATTTTAAAGAAATGCATCAGTGTTACGATGTTTAAAAAATTATTGAAAAATCCTCAGATCTTGGAATTAAAGTTTCCATAGAAACCAATTTAAGGTTGCCAAATTTAGAACCATTTAATAATAACACAACAGATTAAAAGAATTCTCGCTTTAGTAAAATATTAACCTGTATCAAAATCTTTTCTATTATATGCTATAATTTTCTAGAGGGACATTATCTTTAGGGTCCAGATTTTCTTCATCAGGCCTTGCAAACAAAAGATGTAATAATGTGATAAAGGAAAATTTATTCCAATTATATTGCAAAAAGTTTACAGAAAATTCACTCAAAGAACAGAACAAATCAGTATAAACAATGAGTATTGTTTTAATGCATCTGGATCGTAAATTTTGATTCTGATTACTACTACAAAGAGTATATGCCAGTAATTCTTGTGCCCTTGGGAGTTATGGTATTTTTATATTAAATAAAAGGTGCCTATCTTAGCACCACGTCCTGGGGACCAAAAGAGACAGTTTTAGGTGGCAAAACCACGAGTTTGAGCATTTAAATCCTCTCCATCATCTACTGCTTGAAACAGGAAAACTCATAAGGGAATAACTTAATTGATTATATTACCAAAGCTTGTTTAGTAAGCCCATAATAAATATATCATAATCTATTAAAATAAACTATTGGTTAATCACAACTTCTTGCTGAAGTAATTTTATTCTTTAGATGACATTATGGGCAATTCAGGTTAATAAAATGGCATCGCATTTGTTTTCTCCTAATAATTAAAGGTTTTAACTTGTCAGTTTTCATCATCAGTGTAAATAATCTCGACTATCTGAACTGTCATACTACTCACAGGTGACTAAATTTTTACAATGATCATGTGGAACCTTACTCATGAAATGCAACAAAAATTTTGCAATTATCTTTATTGCAAATCTGGAAAAACTGGTACCAAACATTGATTATGGCAGACACTGCCTATTAAACAAAAGATAACTTGCCAATATACATTATAAGCTACCAAAATAAAGAGGAACCAGTATCCATTGCTCAGTCTACTTCTTCTTCTGTGCTTTTTCTGCTGCTTTGGTCACTTTACCACCAGACAAATCCTTTGGTTTTACAGCTTTAATAACACCTACTGCAACAGTTTGTCTCATATCACGTACTGCAAACCTCCCTAATGGTGGAAAATCTGTGAATGTCTCAACACACATTGGTTTACTTGGAACAAGATCAATTATGGCAGCATCACCAGATTTTATGAACTTAGGATTATCTGAGGGAAAAAAAAATCAATTTTAAGTATAATTACTATTTAATATACAAAATTACTATACCATCTAAAATACACACATACCTTCCAATTTTTTTCCACTTCTCCTATCACATTTTTCTTTAATTTCACGGAATTTACATGCTATGTGAGCTGTGTGGCAATCAAGCACTGGTGTATATCCATTGGAAATTTGACCAGGATGGTTCAGTACTATAACCTGAGCAGTAAATTCCTCTGTGGCCTTAGGAGGATTGTCTTTACTATCACCACATACATAACCACGTCTTAATTCTTTAACAGATACATTTTTTACATTAAAGCCTACATTGTCACCAGGAACTGCTTCAGTCAAAGCTTCGTGATGCATTTCTACAGATTTAACTTCAGTAGTAAGATTAACAGGGGCAAAAGTTACAACCATGCCAGGTTTTATAACTCCAGTTTCAACTCTTCCTACGGGAACTGTACCAATACCTACAAAAAATTGAAAGTTACAAGTCATACCAAATATAGGTTTTTTGCATATCACAGAAATTTAATTATAACAATTCAGTGGTCGATCCTGAAGTATGAAAAAGAACTGGTTTTTGAGACACCACTTTAAAAACATCTCAAACTGACAAAATTCATGTTATAAGGCACAATTCAGATTAGTGAAGCATACATATGATTCTAATGTGAAATACATTAATATTTATAACACACACACACACACACACATATATATATAGCATTAATATTTTAATGATAAGTTGTTTTCTCCACACAAAAATTGCTTTTTAGGGAATTACCATATGAGATAACCTCAACTTTTTAAGATTTTGACTTAAATGTTTAAATTCCCCGATTTTTCCCGGTAAAATGGCAACCCTGTATATATCATGCTAGTAAGTATACTTGCATACCAATAATAAGGATAAAGTGTGGTTAAAAAGAATTGCTTGGCTATGAAATAATTGAAAATAAGTATCTAATAATCATTAAAAAGGCAGGGAATGTAGTTTCTTTGGATTGCTTATAACCATTAAAATACTAGAAATATGCTATATAAATATGAACATGAAGTATGTTTTATATTTTCTTAAAAGTAAACTCATCAAATTGAAATGCAGAATATATCTAACAAATCATCTCACATGCAACACTGTACTTTTAATTTCTAAACTAAGATTTTCAAATTTAATCAAGCCTTAAACCAATAGCTTCTACAGTTAATACTTCCCTCAGCAATAGCAAAGATTGAAAAAAGAATTGAATTTAGAAAAACCGCATCTAGTCATATTGTACTGCAACATGTAACTGCACTAAATAGATAGAAAATTGAAACTACAAATGTTTTCTAAGAATAACACTTAAAGTTAACTCTCCTAAACAACACCAATGGCTTAAAAGAAAAGTAATTTAAATCTGAACTATGAGAACATCTTTTTGAAACATAATTTACAACAGCAGTGTTTTTTAGAATTTAATATTACTGGAAACTGGTATATATATATTTATTATCTGGATGACACATTAAACTTGCTTTAAAAGTTAATATTTTACAGACTATAATTACCTCCAATTTTGTACACATCTTGAAGTGGTAAACGAAGTGGTTTATCCAGAGGGCGAGATGGGGGTTCCATAGCATCTAAAGCTTGCAAAAGTGTTTTTCCATCAGATTTGCCACTCTTTCTCTCAATAGCCCATCCTTTGTACCATGGCATGTTTGTACTTGCTTCCAACATGTTATCTCCATTCCACCCAGAAATAGGAACAAAAGGTACAGTAACAGGATTGTATCCTATTTTCTTGATGTAAGTAGAAACTTCTTTCTTGATTTCTTCAAAGCGAGACTAAAATACAAAATTATCCAGTTAAAACAATTTAAAAAATACTGCTCAAAGGTTTACTTCTTGATAAATCTAGCAAATATATGATGTTAAATAAAACTAAAAAAAGTAGCACAAAATGAACATTTATTGTTCCGAGATAGAGAAACTATCCATATTTGCCATTACAAAAGGCATGAATTTTTATTATTTCTTAACACCATTGTCTTCATTTAAAGCAAAATTCTTCCAATTTATTTTACATAAAAAACAATCAGAAAAAATGATCATTTTCAGAAGATAAACAAATGACTAAAGACAAAGATGTTTAACATGCTAATGAAATAACACTGTTCATGCACATTGAAAATTTACCCAGCAGCAAAGGGAATTAACTGAAGCAATTATTTATACCTAAAATTAACTTTTTGTTATACTATTAAAAGAATAAAATAAATATAAGGATGGATTATTTCCAAACATAATATTATGTTTATCTATTAAAACAAATTCAGAAATAAAATGTACTTTGTAAAAATCAACAATTTAGCATTATATTACAAAATTACTTTGTATTTTATACTTATACTCCCACATATTGTAAAGAAGATTAGAGACATTCAAGTTTCACTGACAGCTTTAATATGTCATTCTGTTATGCAACCACTCAGTCCTGAGGTTTATTGCAAATGTTATGTCAAGTAGTATAGGTTAAAATGAAAAATAACACAAAAGCCTGGCTATTGCCACCACTACTGCTTGCTAAGAGAAAGAGGTGCTGAACAGAATAGATAACATTCAACACTGACCCAGTAAGTATTATAGCTGTATGTAGAGTTGCTGGAACTCAAAGGTCTCATATAAGCTACAGGAATTTCAGGTTTTAGGTTGTTTAATATTAACTTGTTCAGTACCATGTTTTAACTCGGCAGTGGGACTGAACAAGTCTCATTATCTGTAAGGAATCAAGTTTTACATCCACAGTAAGCAATCAAAGAAAATAACTCCTCTTAACACAGAGAACTAAGAGTAAGCAATTCATTACAAATACTTATAGTAAGTCAGATTTACATGGTTTCTAAAAATTTTTTAAGCATTATTCAAATCAATAACAGCATTTTACAGTTTAAAACAGATTACACACCTAACTTGGAATATTACGGTAATTACACATAAGCTACAAAACAGGACATTTCGTAGCAGTATCATACAAAATATTTATGCATCTTTTCAATTTGATAATTTAAGAAAATTTCAATAAAGAAATCAGTGTTCCTATTAGTTTGCTTCATATCCTAGTTTATGTTCTAACAATATTAGAAAAATAAAAAATAATTTAAAATAATTTTTCTCATCAAGTTTGATCTACATTTTAGAGTTAAGTTATAGAACTGCATGTATTTAGAATTTTATTTCTTTATTAAAGTAGAGAATAAATACATAAAACACAAGTGTGACAAAGTTTTAAAGAAGCAATAAAATTCAGGTATGATCAAGTAGCATAATGCCTAGTGCTAACTGTAAGACATACAAGATGAAGCTTTTAAATTATCTTCATTAACACATTGTACGACTGCAATGCGAAAACGGGGTTTCGAAGTCTATCGTTTGAGCGTCGACTCCGTGAAAACTCTGGTTTTGAAGTCTATCGCTTGAACTTTATATATTCTTTGTGCCTAGTACCTTTACATCTTGGAAAATGTTTTGAAAAATACCATACATCCCTTAAATATTAATATTTTTCTTTGTTTATATTATATATATGTAATAATCATCAAATAAAACAGGTGCATTTTTTACAATTATAAATTAATTTTTAAAAATTTTACTTTCATTTTCATTATCGTTAAATTTCATTACAACGAATATGCAAACCGAATTTAGTGTTTTACGGTAATGTATAAAATTTTAAATATTTTCTTCACCTATTAATTGGTTGTCAACAAGCGAATCCTGCCGGCACCCACGCTTGAGGAGGTCAAGACGGTGCCAGCGCTCAGACTTTAGTTGTCTCAGATGCCACCAGTGTACAAAGTGTTAACAGAAATTAGTTTTTACAGATGCCTGGCGCTGTGACAAGATTTTTCATGCTTATGTATAGTGAAAAGATAAGAAAATAAAGGGAAGATATACATATTTAAGAAAGAATTGATATTAAAAATTCAAATCCCTTGTCACCATTTTTGCAAGTTTTTTAAAATTAATCACAAATTTCCTACAACACATGCATTTGCTCACTTTACATGGGAGAAGAATAAATCAAGAAATATTCTTGCAAAATGTTAATTTACTCAAAATGGCAATCCTACAAACAAATGTCAGTTAAATAATTTTTTTTATATCAGGACCAAATATCTTTTACAAAAACACAAGGACAGTATGAATCCTGATTAAAATTTAAACAATAGATCAATTAAATATCACTTTTACAGATTATAAAACAAGATCAAAAGTTACCTCACTGAATGGTGGTTCAGTGGTATCCATCTTGTTAACACCTACAATCATCTGTTTCACACCTAAGGTGTAAGCCAAAAGCGCATGTTCTCTTGTTTGTCCATTTTTAGAAATACCAGCCTCAAACTCTCCAGTACCTGCAGCAACAATTAAAACAGCACAATCTGCCTAGAAATGCAAGAAAAATTAAATTATATATACATAACCACTGTATAACCAGGAATAAATTTTATTAAAGAGAAGGCATTCTCAGGAGCAACAGTTTAGTTTTTATGCCATCAAGAAAATCAAATTTTTCTAAACAATTATGACAGAAAACATGAAATTATGAAACATTCAACAGATGTTATATTTACCTGAGAAGTTCCAGTTATCATATTTTTGATGAAATCCCTGTGTCCAGGAGCATCAATTACAGTTACATAATACTTGGATGTCTCAAATTTCCACAAAGTAATATCAATTGTAATACCACGTTCACGCTCTGCTTTCAATTTGTCTAAAACCCAAGCATATTTGAAAGAGCCTTTACCCATCTGAAAATATATAAATTTATTGTTAAAATACATGAATTTATTCAATTCAATTTCAAGATTTGAGTCATTCATATAAATCCATAACTACCACCTGACTATTTGAAGATTATACATGTATACTAATAAGAAAGCATTTAGGAAGACTGGCTACATATTCATTTTAAATGCTTTCTACAGCTGTGAACCAATGTACAACACCCTGGCAACATCAGTTACTTTTCATTCCTCTACTTTTCCAATGATAATGGCCACATGAAAATCATCCAAGTGATGCCATGAAAACATACAGAAACTTTCTAGATCAATTAAATCCTTTCTGTAAAACTTCACTTGGTTAAACAATTGCCAACATGGGTCAAATCCTTTACATATTTTATCAGCCTTATCACATGATGAACAGGTGAGGAAATAGAAAATTACATACACACAACATTTCTTAATAAATCCTGTACTTATTTCAATTTTCAACATTTGTTACATTTCATTTTGTGACTGTTATAGGTAAGTTATTGTATTTTTAACAATTATCCAGCAACATACACAAGCAGATGTGAAGATTCAACTTAACTGCAGACTATCTCCACTGTTTAAACAAGTACTTTGAAAACACTCTTCACAACTGACCTGCAGGCCTTTTGCTGCATTTCCTTTTAACAATGCAAATTAGTATACCTAGTTAAGGTTCATAGCCACATTTTAGTTAAAAAAATAAGCACCTGTCTAATTAAACTTGTAATTTAAAATATGAGAAATGAAGTACTTATTAAGAGAGAATAAGCATTCCCTCAACCATCGATACTTTTTTTTGTTTTTAATTTTGAATAATAGTTCAATTTACAGAACTAGTTTACAATGAGAGAAAAAAAGCTATGAAGAACTAAACTATACAAGATTTAATGATAAAATTTCAGTTGAAAATAGAGAAAATAAATAATAATAAGGCATATTTATTGTATTCACTTGGAACCAAATAATAAATAAAACTTATTTTTCCACTCATATTGATACTTTAATAATTTAAATCTAAATTCCTAACATTTTCTAAATTTTCATTGTATATCAGTTTTCCCTTAACAGATATTGCAAGCAAAGTAATTTAAGTAAAAAAGAGGAACATTTCTGAAATCAGAAGACAGAAATTTGCTTCATGCAGTCATCCTTTAACAGTAAAAGCTTAACTAACCCGCATACTTGGAAATTGGCGAATATTCGGACAGTCGAGCGTAACTTGAAAAAAGAGGAGCGGAGGGGGGGGGGTAGACTGTAGCCGCTCTTTAGATTTTCCCGCTAAATAAATGCTTTTGACATTTCGATATGTGCATCATATAAAAATAAACCAATGGAACTGAAAAATATTCTGCTTAGCAAGCACAGTAAAACTCTTTTAAGTGTTCATAAACAAATCTCGGACAGAACATCAAAATTAATTATCTCTGCAAAATATCGCAAACGTTATTGCACAATACGTGTGCCATAATTCTTTCCTACGTGATATTACGCAATCGGAATCAACAGCTGCCGGTATTGGGAGAATAAAGAACTAAATAACTGGGGTGTTTTTCATTCTAATTTTCAACAGACTGGCATTAAATTTCCGGAATAGAATCATTCTTCGCTTGGGTTGGTAGACCGCAGAACTTTTAGTCCTATTCAATCCAGATTGGAAAGTGACCCCCCCCAAAAAAAAAGGTCCGTTGCTTGTTTTGCAGCGAACTGTAACAGTTTCAATATTCGAGATTTTGCGGAGAAAGGGGAGAACCTCCCAACCTTCGTACTGTATAATGTATTGGCCAAAAAAAATGAAATTATTTTGACTATTCGATTACTTTCCCTTTATTTAAGCCATTCCGAATATTATTCCTTAGAAAGCTAATCTGTGTTAAAACACAACCATTTTTGGAAGTTTACTATACTTCAGCAGTTACTGCAACTATGTTATTATAAACATATGCTCATAATATAAGCATAACGATCATAATAAACACGAATATGAACTGACCAAGCAGAACGAAAATGCAAATTTTTAAGATCTTGATAGAAATTTAAACGTGTGTAGTATTTGGGTGGGAGGAAAAGAATGCTGAATGTAGCAGAATTTTCTACTGCTTTTGCAATTCTTTGACCAATAGTATTACGGGCACACCAAAGGTTATGTTAATGCAGAGAAAGGGGGAAAAGCTATTTCCGAGAATATGACTCACCATCTGACATTCCATATTAGGAAGAAAAGTTGTTTATTTAGTTTCGGCTTTGGTAGGGGGAAAAATAGCGCGTTCATTAAAAAAAAAAGACGCACTAAAAACAAAAAAATAAGGGCTTTAAAGAAAAAGTAAGCACCTATAAGGGACTTTATATTTTATTTTCAAATATAAGGACCACTACGAACCCTGCCTAGTGCAAGCCAAGTTGCTTAATATAGTCTTGCCAGCTGAGCATCAGGTTAACTTTTAACAAATCATTGCTACAACGATAAAGTCAAATTCAAACTGATACTTATGTACCATGATGATTACCTAAATATCTCGTCAAAACTGGCAACCCTTGTAGGTTATACAAAACCTAATATAGAGGGCACTAAAATAAAGAGTACGATTTTTTCTTTTTTGGTTATACTTATGCGAATTACTATGTTTAGGTTAAACACATGAAACTTTCGAGATTTTTTCCCCAGTGGATAGCAAAATTTTCAAACTTCCTTCAAATGAAGTGATAGAATTTTTCATGGGCTGGAATTTTACCGAAAGAACGCGTTTGTAAAAATGGTCATGACCTGAAGTTTCATAATTCAGGATTTTATTGGAGATGCAATGTCAAAAATTATCAATAAAAGTTTGGTGTCCAAACTGGTACATGTTTTGAAAACAATCGTATTGAATTTTTAAAAGCTTTAAGATTTACTTACTTTTGGGCATATGAAGAGTCATCTATTAAATGGTGCAAACATCAGTTGGATTTATTCAATAAGACCGTTATTGATTGGAATAATTATACGAGTGAAGTGCGTGCTAAGGATTTGAAGGATAATCGAAACATTAAAATTGGAAGGCCGGAATGATTGTCGAAATTGATGAAAGCCTTTTTACGTGTCAAAAGAACACTCAACGTCCTTTATAGGATTTAATGTAAGAGTAATAAACATTCTGCCAATACAAGAATAACTCATGGAGCACCCTAAAGCAAACATTTTATAAACAGTCTAAGAGAATTTCTTCCAAAAATACAGTAAACCTTCTTGCACCATATTTTAATCAATAATAAATCACAAAATTATTAAAACTGAAAGACAACTTGAAAACATTTCATTACTTTATAAATTGATAATTCTGGTACGAAAACTTTTCATGCTGTTTTTAGTTTTATCTTAAACTAAAAAACATAACCTTGCTTTGAAGAAAGAATTCATAAAATCCTTGAAATTAATATAAGGTATAAATATACAGGCAAAAAAATTACACATTTAAACAAATACTGATCATTTTCAGATATTCAGCGTTTAGGTCAGTAAATGCTGAATATCTGATAGCTATGCTTACCCACGCATAGCTATCAGAACATGTATAAAAACTTTAATTTGAACCATTACCTCTTGAGCTTCTTTTTCAAATTTTTCAATGGTTCTTTTGTCAATACCGCCACATTTATAAATTAAATGACCAGTAGTCGTTGACTTTCCAGAATCTACATGGCCAATGACCACAATATTTATATGCGTCTTCTCTTTAGGCATCTTTTATTCTTTGAAAAAATACCTATGAAAAGTAAATATAAGGCACAGTTAGAAAATGCATTTCTTGCAAGATTTTAAAATAACATTTAAACCAATAAAATAAATTCAGACAGGATTGAATTGCAACATTCTAATGATTTTAACCTCGCAGATGACATTTGTTTTATGTGAATGAGACACTGACATGTGCAAATTCAATAACAAGATGGCTTGATGGTAATACACACAGTATATTTAAAGCAATTTATTTCAATGTTATCTGTTCTGGTGGACTTTATACGGGTACAGTGGCTTTACTCGATTAAAAAATATATATACATGTGCGTACAATTTTTAAAGTAGAGCTTGCACAATATCCATCTTGATAATTTGCAGATGTCACTATTGTAATTAAATGTTAATTTTATACCAGAGGTTAGTGATGAATTGAATGTCTATATGAATATTAGATGTTACCTTATCACCAGGCTAAGAGCTGTACACAAGGTTTGCAAATCCTTGACAAATGTCCAAATTCCAATAATAGCACTAGTTTAAACACAACTATTAAAAAAAAACACCCCTTCACTGGACACGAAGCCGGTAGAAATCAACCGATCAGACTAAAGCTCTGCTCCTGAAGAATCACGTGATCCTAATCTTGGAGATAATAAGGGCTAATCTTTAGAATATGGTAACAGGTAGTTTGGTGACATTTTGGTAAGGCGATAAAGGTTACTAGCTAGGACTTTAGCAATAATCTGAGAAGTACACAGTTCGAATCAGATTATTTTGTCTCAGAGAAATGAGAGATCATGAGACATGTAATGAGAAATTTTCCGGAAAATTCCGATTGTGATTTTAGCTAATAAGCACTTAGAAACAATTTTGCTGCTAAAGTGCAGAATCGTCCACTCATTTGTTTGGCGCTTTTTACAAGAGTAAGAAGAATTGGATTTTTGTCAATTTTCTTTGACTTTTTAAGTGAAAATAGGTCGATGTGTACATAGATAAAGTCAAGAGTGTGCGAAATGCCATTTTTGTGCAATTCTGGAATGTTTAAGTGAAAGTAGGTCGACGTGTACATGGATACCGTGTATGTGCAATTCTTAAAAACGCGGGAAACAGTTTGCGATTCTGCCCTTTGTCCCAATTTCGCACCTAATCTTCATTATGATTAAGCATTTTTGTTCCATAAAAGTTTTGAAATAAGCGTAATTCGGCTAGCAGATTGTTGGAAAAAATGTAGAGTAAAAAAAAAACCCTTTGCTTTGTGAAAACAAAATGGCGTCCAAAACAAAACTAGCAGGTTGCTGTAGCAGGGTTGGTTGCCAAATTTTCGACAAAAAGTTACCATAATATAGATTCACCATAATAAGATAACCGTTTTGCGTTCAAGTATGTTTAGTAAGTGAAAACAACATAGCAATGTAGGTTTCGTGAAAATGTGCAGGCTCTTGGAAATGTCCCTTTTGACATCCAGTCTCATGTAGAGGAAACATGCGATAGGGAGTTACTTTTTCAAGGTGAATTTATGGCTGGATAGTTAATACATGCATATAAAAAAAAGATCGGTTGCATTTCATTATTAAACAGCCATCACAGACACAGAATATATAACTGAAAAAGTCAACTCTGAACGAGTACCAAGTAGCATCTTCAAGTGATGAAAGACATTAAACCAGTTTACCAAAAGAAAGTTTGCATGCTATCAAACTACAAATGAAAATAGTTATACTGTTTGGGAACTACTCTGATATGCGCCCTCAAGTCGCCAATTTTCACGCCAAACATTTTTGGCGAGAAACTTTACGCTGCCATATTACTATCTAAATTTTTTGTCTATATTTCGAACTTTAAGCCTAAATTGTCTCAAACACGGTTTTCGCACATGCAAAAACTACGTTTTGAACACACGATTTAAGCTAAAAACCCGAAACAAAAACAAAATTTAGATAGCAAAAACATAGTTTCTAACCAAAAATATTTGGCAAGAATCTATGTACACAACAACATGTTTTAACTTAAAAAAATCTACAAATTGCACAATTTAGGCAACGAACAAATCTACGAACTACGCACACCTCGCTTTAATAAATTAACATAACAATAAATTTCAAAGAATACCATTTACTGATCATAGAAATTTGTGCGGCTGATCTTTAGAATATGGTAACTGGTAGTTTGGCGACATTTCGGAGGCGATAAAGGTTACTACCTGGGACTTTGGTAATAATGTGAGCAGTACTCAGTTCCGATTACGCATTATTTTGTGCGAGAGAAATAAGAGATCATGGGATATGTCATGTGATATTAATGGACGAATTAGTTCTTTAATCGGAAAAGGGGGGAATTTGGAAAAATATCTGTGGCTGTATATTATTTTGTATCAAGCTTCATTGTGTGTTGTGTGAAGTAGGGTTGAATAATTTTGGGATTGTAAGGCGCTGTCTAAAGTGAATTCTAGATGTGATAAAGAGAATTTTGCTTTTTATTTAGCGGAGGAAATATTCGCAGAAAAAATCTTTCAATAATTTTATTGAATCCATAATAAAAGTGTATCCACCATGTAAGCAAGATTCTGAAGAAGATTAGGTAAGTTAGTATTTTTAATTATTTGAGGATATTCTTTTTATGCATTGTTCTAAGTGTAAGGTGGAAGTAAAGTAATTTGGTATTATTGGGAAAATTGTTATTAGCAATGGTTTAGTTTAAAGTAATTAGGATTGTAAGCTAATTTTTATTAATTTAACGTATGTGCTTATTTATATTTTAAGTAGTGTTTTTGAATTTAAATACATTTTAATTAAATGATAGTTATTTTGTGAATTTTATGTTTGTAGGAATTTGGTATATGTTTTAGTTGAAGTAAACGTGCATGGAAATAATTTAAATATTTGACACTAAGTATTTGTAATGTTGCGGTATGAATTCGTTGGTGACGTTTATATATAATAGATAATTTAGAAGGTAAAAGTTTTTTGGATATTTTATTTATTTTATACGTGGAAATGTTCATATTTGGAAAGGGTATATACTTTTTCGTTATTAGGTAATTTCATATATGTTCTTTTTAACCGGGTTTTAAAGATTCAGAAATTGTCATGTATTTTCGTGAAAATTTTTCTAATTTATGAGAAAAAAGCAGTGTACATGGATATAGTGAAGAGTGTGCACAATGCCATTTTTGTGTAATTCTGGGATGTTTTTTTAAGTAAAAATAAATCGACGTGTACATGGTTTATGTGTACGTGTTATTTTGAAAAACGCGTAAGGAGTATAGTATTGTGCACTTTTTCCCAATTTTGCAGTGAATATTTGTCATGATTAAGCAGTTTTGTTAGATAAAATTTCTAGCATAAGTGTAATTCGAATAGTAGATTGTTGAAAGAAGTGTTGAGTAGATAAAAAGAAAAGAAACATGTCTTTACTTCGTGAAGACAAAATGGCGGCGGGGGAAAAAAAATAGAGGGTTGCTGTAGGAGACTTTGTCGCCAAAAAATCGCCAAGTTACCATAATCTAAAGATCAACCATTTATGCTAAAATGATTGTTTTTTCAATAACAAGGTATTTTATTTAGTGTCGAAGTGAAATTAAGAATAAGGACTCCCCGGATGTTCTATTATGTGCGGAGGGGATGAATCAAATGCACACATGTAAAGCCTATGAGAAAAAATTGTGGGGGTTGAGATACAGATTTTAGATCATTCCAGAATTCAACTTATTCTGTCTATGGGAAAGAATACCTACATTAAGGAATTTTGCTTTACAGGAAATTGACTCATACCCATAATACAAATGCAGGAAACTACTATTCAGTCAGCCCATTTGCAGATTCAAACTCATCAACTATTGTTCAGCAACTTTCCCACAGAAATGCTGGTAGAAATGTGACCTGTATTTCTTAAATCACCATTTGATAGAAATGCAAAGTGAAAGAAATCAGGGTCAGGACAAAGAACTAATTTGAAGATAGCCAGGCATCAATTACAACAGCTATTTATTTTACTGTTTCCAATGTGCTATGCAACATTTGTGCAATTCTGATTTATTCTCAGCAAAAAGAGGTACACATAGAAAAATTACAGAATAATCTCTTGGAAAAAAAAAAGTATTATTGCTGACATTGTCCTTATTTTTACTGAATATTTTAAGAAATTCTTAACGTGTTGCCATTTTGAAAATGGAATACCTTTTGCACATCAGGCCAGTGAAAAATTAGCAATGAGTTTCAGAATACTTTATAATGACTAGTAAATTCGTGACCTTCTCAGTTGGGATATGGATGATCAGATAATTCATAGCTTTTTTTAAAATGCAAAAGAATTCAGAACTTGATATTTTCCAAAAGATTAAGCTATCTGGTTTCTTCAAGAAAAGTGTTCAAACACGAAATTAAAACGTGGCGAAACACTACGCAGCATTCGCTCATGTTATAAATGCCATAAAGGAAATGTCCGAATAAAAGTATGGTTTATACGATCACATTCTTTCTATTATGGCTATCAGATTCGTTTAACTATGGTGTGTGAAGTTTATTTTTAAATTTGAATTTAGGAATTAAGTTTGAAACGCATTTTAACAATAGCAATGTTCCAACAAACTTTTTACACAGACTATTCCGATTAAATCTATGAAGCATTCACTAAATTTCTGCTTTTAGATAAGATGACATGCCAAAATTCGACAAAACATGCATGTTATTTTTTTTAACAGAAGTATGTAGAGTTGGTGATTTTAGTAAATAAAATGAATTTCCCGAATTTTAATTCCTAATGTGCGAATTTCTAAAACACACAAACTTTGGAAACTAGTAAGCTTTTACAATCACTAAGATGCGAGATGGAAGAAACTAATGTTATTATGGCGTAATACACTCAATTCTTTCTACAGTAATTCTACACTCTGTCAAGACAAACTTAATTACATTCTTTAACCAAAATACGAATAGTGGCGACGTGGTACATTAAGAATTCTTTCAGTTTTAAAAATCAGTTTACAAGCTACGGTGAGAAATTATTTAATTAGTACGCTAATTCAATCATTTCGATGCTTTATAGATTATCTATACAGAGAACTTCGAAATTTAATTTTAGAGTTATTTAAGAAATGAGCAGCTGGTCAACTTACCGGATAAGAAACGTCACCAAGAAAGCAAACGGACGCCAAAATTAAAATCATTCAAAAAAAACACTATATTACATTAATTACTTAAAATGTTTAACCATTAACAAGGCATAACATGTAAATAATTAAAAACAGCTTATTTTACTTACGTTTGCTGAAAACAAATGAAGATGTAATAGGATTTTCAGTCAGCTGCCACACAACACTCACAAGCGAACGTTAAGGAATGATGAAGAGGGTTTGGTCACGTGGCTTTCCAAAGTAAGTCAGAGTGTAAGCCGCTGATGCCAGATGGCAACAAAAGTATATTTCAAATTATACGGGGCTCTGTGAAAGTCAACAGTGATGCAATACAATTACTGAGATGAAAATAACTTTGTGAAGTTTATTTGAAAATAAACGACGAAATTGAACTAAAATTAGCACAAACAAATATGACAGTTCTTGCTGACCACTGCTGCTGCGGTTTCATCAGCACTCAGTCGAATTTTATGAAACCATTGTTGCTAGAGCTTTTCGTGGGTGCACCACAAAAATAAAAATAAATAAATAAAGGGGCGTTTTTTAACGTAATGTGTGCTACGTTTATTTATTAAATATCTCGTTCTTCGAGCTTAAACAATAAAATTCCATTCAACAGGAATATCGCAAAATAATTTTAAAATGAGTATACCTTTAGAATTTCTGATACACAGTCTCGCGCGCTGGAAATAAAAATGTTTTTTTTTCTCGTACAGTATCGCTTTGAAATCGTTGAGTTTGTTAATCAAAAATTTGTGAAAGGGTTACAAAATATGAGAGCGATAATAAAACAAATTCCAAATTCAGGTTTCCAGATCCCCATATTCACTGGAATATTACTTTATTCAAAATTTCACGGCTCTAGGTATATTGCTTTATCACAATGCGAGAAACATACATACATTTATGCATATTCTTCATTTCTTTAAATGTAACACAGGATTCTAAATGTGGTGGCAACAATTTGAAAAGTGAACCTACGTTTATAGTGAACCAACGCAAAATGCGAAAACGAAATTAATAGCCATTATGGGCTAAATAAATAAAAGAGCCGTTCACTGATTTCTTCTTTTAACCACTTTCACATATATTATAAGATACCATCTAAACTTGCTAAACAAACCTGAATGCTAAACAGAAATCCTCAGATTGGCGGAAGAGACATGTGCTTTCAAATTAGGGGTCTAGTCCGCAGTGGCTAATCGAGCAAGGAGGTTAGAATAATAAGGGATTCTCCTTGGCATTCTCTCTACCAAAGAGGTATTCTAACCTCCTTGGCACCGACGGTGCGAATAGCTAAGAGGCTATTCACAGCATCTACGTTCGCGCATGCTCACAATCAGCCCAGGTACCAGTATTTTACCCCTATTTCCGTAAGGCAGGCGGTAGCGAGAACGAAGGTTGTTAACTCTAACTCAGCAATAGAAAGGGCTGTTAATAGTTCACCAGCAAGAGAATAATTTGCAAGTAATAATTATCAGTTAGAAAGGTTCGAATCCCACGAACGGGCTGGCTGCATGGGCGTTATAACCAATATATCGGTCATTACCAACATTTTTCTGGTAGCTTCCAGAAGCATAAAAGTTTAAAGCACAAAAAACCTGTTTTAAATAAATAGATAACTATATATATAAATAACTTATTATAAATATATTAAGATATGCAGCGAAAGAAATTGCAGTACATATTCCTATTCATGCCCTTTTTAAATTGATCCCACCAGCAGCCGAAGGGTAAAATCGCTGAACACTGGTAGTTCGGTCAGAATTTCTAATCTCACGAACGGGCTGGTTGCATAAGCATTTTCGTGGTTTTTTCCATGTGTAATGTGTATACGAGCTAGTTTTCCTTTGAAAGTCCTCCACGAAGGCAACTCTCACCTTAGGGAGATAACCCTCGAGGCTTTGCCGTAATCACATAAAACCAAAACTAAACACTTTTACATCTGAATGAAAAATACACAAAACTGATGTAATATCTAAAAGCAGATCACATAAAAATCTGATAACTAATTATAAATCATGCATTAAAATATTACAAGAATTTAATTTAACTGAAAATTATTTAGGAATATAACTTGAATTATATAGGAGATTCTAAAAACTACTGAAAATTGACATTTATATTGATACAATTAAAACTATTGAAATAAATTTTTAACTCAAACTTAATATGAATGTTGAATTTAGGATGTGCATAAGTTGAATATATACTGCGTATTCTTTAACGAATTTGTTGTATTACACTTTTATACGGTGCAAATTAAAATAAAAGTAGCAGGAAATACATTTATAATTTAAAACATAAAATTTCAAAATTTATAAATTACTCATCAAAACATGAAATTAGGTACATTAATATAGACATTAGTTTAAAAATTACAATTTAAAATTAAAAGTATGCACTCATTCTTTATGTGAAAAACGAAAACACCAAATATCTTATTTTCACTAAATTTAAATTAAGGAATTGCTTATCTAATAGATCAATAGCCAGAAGTCTATATCATGCAGATATGAAAATAAGTGAATTATTCCTTACCTTTAATTCAGGAGTTATTGCTGTCTTTGACGTGGATGCTCTGGTAAAGTATGGCTTTAATTTATTGATAAGAGTAAATCGAACTTATCCAATAAAAGTAGATTAATCAGCGAAACACTCGAGTTCTTCGCAAATCTTAATCATAATCTCTTCGTTCAGAAATTTAAATATCCATTACATACATTTCCAAAAACTATCCGTGACATCCGCCGTCTTCAGTTAAGCTCTAATACGACAGTCAGAAAGTTAAACGGCAGCTATCCAGCTGACGGAAAAATTTCCGACCCGTCAATCTCTGTAATGAACGAGACGATGACACAAGACTCGCTCTTTGTCGAGTAGATCGCAAAAAACGATCCGTTCTTCCATCTCGACGGCGTCCAGACTAGGCTCTTCCTTTGCAGCCCACCAGCGGCCGAGCGGTAAAATCGCTGAACACTGGTAGTTCGGTCCGAGGGTTCGAATCCCGCGAACGGGCTGGCTGCGTGGGCGTTTTCGTGGTTTTCCCCCATGTGTAACGTGTATACGAGACAGTTCCCCTTAGAAAATCCTCCACGAAGGCATCCCTCCATTTAGGCAGATAGCCTAGTGTGCTTTGCCGTATTCTCAATACACCACCACCACCACCTTTGTATTTTACTTGATCTTTCTGACATTTTAATTTGTTTGTTGTTATGAAAGATTACAGAAAGGTGGCGACCATTAAGTTACTCTCTTTCACCTCAACATTGGCAATTCTGTAAACTAAAGAGAAAAAAGGGCAAAGAGAGAAAAAAAATTATCAAGACATGATCAAGAAAATGGCTGTTAAGGCGGTTTGTTAACAAATGTCTGCCTATTCTTTCAATATAATCAAATTTCGGTATATTATCTCATATAAAAAGTGCAGTGAAGTCCTGCAAAAGTCTGATACTACATAGAATACATCCTCAAAATTCTGCTGAATTAAAAAGAATGGCATACTTTATCATATTATTAATAAATATTTGCCGAATATCACTTTTTTAGCTTTTTTCGATTAATATCAATTGAAAAATATAGGGTGCCATAATCCCATTTGGGCTAATGGTCACTTTTTATTTTGGGGGAACATTTAATTTTTCTGCGTTAAAATGGGTAATTTTTTACCTCAGGAAACGAAGTAACATTCACAGATTCAACCATGACATAATTAATTCATCAAAATGCTACTTCTGCAGCACAAAATGTGCATATACATCGATTATATTTAAATACTTTGTACCTCGAAACCTAAAGGTTTCGGTAACGCCATTGCATCTTTCGTCAAGTAAGAAACTTGGCTAATTTTTGAGGCCTTTGTTGTCGATCGTCTGCAGAGTTGAACAGGTTTCGGATGTAGATACCCCCTGGCTTGAGCAATTTAGGACAAAACATTGAATGTTTTCATTAGCCATCTGTAGAAGTGGAAACCAGTGCGAATACTTACTTCCAAAGTCCTTCAACCAACATGTCAGTGCCCCTGACCTCTCTTTAGAGGTTCTTTGTCAGTGCACTCAACGAAATATTTCTCAAACGCAACGTTTGGCTCTCCACTAAGTATAGTTTAAATGATAAATTATTTGACAAGGATTATACGAGAACTGAGAGTGATCATTTGATATTTTTTCAGAGAACGCTAGGGATATCTTTAAAACTGCCTTAGTTACTCAATTTGAACCATTCTACATAAAATCTTGAATACTGAATTGATATTTACTTTGGGATAATTTATAGAACTTAATCATAGAAAAAGAATGCGTTCCAATTAAACTTATGTTTTCTGAATAATCTCATTATATATTTGGTCAGCACTTCATTAAATATGTTGCAATTAAGCATAACTAAAACGGATTTAAAATAGCCTTCAAATATTAGGGATAATGTGTTGTTTTCTGTAAAGATTCGTTAATGCGATCTTGCCTCTTCAATAATTCTTACAGTATGACGCTTCTTGCTGCATATTTCACTATTATTTTGTGCATCACATAGTATAATAATAATTACTGTATACGTGCGTCGCCATCCTCTGGCATAACACGGACTGGACCCTTCTGTAAACCCCCATATTAGGCAAGGGGAGGATCCCAGTTAAAATTTCCCCAAGAGGAGCGCAGTTCTCCATGTTACGACCCCGGGGTCCCAAGCCGGTCCCAAGCCTGACTTTTAGTGTTTCCTCCATAAACCATGGTTACACCTGCATATTCACAAAGCCTACAGACAATTTCGCTACGGGCTGCTCTCATTGGAGGGTCTGCTTGGCGGTCATATTTGGAATGGCGAGTTATCGCCCTGTAGGAGTGGTAATTAACAGCAAACAAACGGAAACAGCGTTTATTTCATTCAATATTTTTTTTTAGTTTATGAATGAAAGCTTAGAGGAATTGTAGGGAATATATCTTAAATAACCTACTGATCTTATTAATAGTTTATTTGTATTTGAATTTAAACTTTTAAAAGTACGTAATTGTGTTTATATCGAGACAGCATATGCACTTTTTCGTTATTTCACTTAGGAAGAGTCTATTGTGTAAATTTTCATAGCGCATTATTTATACAATAAAGGAATATAAAAAAATTAACCTAATGAAAACATTCATAACATTTAAGGGTGTCGGATACCTATTCTTTTTACCTAAATTATGAGTAAGTATAACAAAAATTATATTTTATTCCATTATGCGCTATATCTATTGAAACGCTTTTTGGGACCTTCAATCGTAAT